GCTTCGATAACAACCGTGCCTTCAGCTTATATTGTCACCCATTTTCTTCTTGCTAGAAAGATGCTTATAAGCACGAGAAACTCTTATCAACTGTTGTCTCTTTTAATATATTACAGTCTTTTTAAAGGCACTGTAAGAAAAATTACTTTCAAAAGGCAGTTGAAAGAACTGTAGCGCACCTTTAAGTTATCCATTTAAAGTGCAAGAACATTTGGGTTGAACCAAAACTTAATTATCAATTCACAAAGTTAGAGAGCCCCAGACTATGGGAAATACTTGGCTTCAGGATCCTCAAAGGTGAAATTAAGTCCAAGACAGTGAATCTGACCTGGATGACAGCAGAGCCCCAAATACAGCACCGGGTAAGGCAAGGCCCACAAGCTGGGCATCTAAACTTTGTGTTTTACCCTAATTTAATTAACATGGAGGACGGGGGGGAGGTTGTCATCCTATTTGTTTGCTGTTCATTGCATCATGCTCTTCTGGGAAGAAAAATGCCACATGCCACTCCTTAAGCTCATCTTAACGTCAATCAAGAGAGAAGGGAAGAGGGAGAGAATGACTCTGTAGTCCAGCCTGCAGGACCTGCCCACATTCTCCCCAGAGACTTCAGTGGACGTGCACGCTAAGATTTAAGTGGCGCAGGCTCAGTCCCCGTTCTGCACAAAATCACTGTGGGACCAACGCCAGGCCATTCCACTACTGTGCGCTTCAGATATCCTACTGCAATATAACAAGGCTGATCCTTGTCTCCCTCCTGAAGAAGAGACATGAGATGCTTTTCCACTGAATAACAAGGAGCAAGTGATGAGCTATGCCTTGATGACAAGTCTTTGGGGCCTGACACACACCTATGCAGCACGTGTCCTCTCAAGGCATTTATTAGGGGTGATGCCATCGCGAGTTCCCCGCCGCGAGGCCTTCTCCTCCCCCAACCCCTCTGCAGCACAGCAAGACAAGGGGGCTCTACAGGCGTGCGACAGCACAGGAAAGGGCTACAAAGCCACCACGGGGGAGGAGGGCAGGGTTGCGTGACCTCGTTTTCAATGCCCGCTCTCAGCAGGTCGATGTTGCTGGACAGCCCGTCCACCTGGGACACCAGCTCCTCGGCGCTCTGCATGCTGGGCAGGAACTCGTTGTACTTCTTGTTGATCATGTTGCAGACTTCTCCCTGGGCGGAGGGCAAGTGTGGGGGCACGGTCACCCCCGGGCCAGGGCCTTCCCCGCAACGCCAACCCCCC